CTCAGCAAAATGTGTAAATGCTTTTCTTTATTGCCCACCCCACTTCTACCTGATCCCCCTGGCCCTTCTTGCATGTAACTTTCCATATACCCCAAAACCTCCATTCTGCATTCATGTCTTATATGTTCTATAGTCCTTTCACAACCTCAGCTTGTCTTTTTTCCTCTCTCATTATTATCTCTTTGCTATTTCATAACTAACCTCCACTATTATACAGACATATAAACATTCAATAACTGGAACCCATATGAGTGAGAGCATGACATTTTTATCTTTCTTAATCTAAATTACCTCAGCTAATATACACTTCCCAGCTACATACATCACCCTGAAAATGTCACTTCATTTATATTTTTAGCTGAATCAACTTCCACTGGGTATATGTATACCACATTTTTGTTGTTCACGAATCTGTTGATGGACATCCAAGCTGGTTCCATTTCCTTGCTATTGTGAATAGAGGAGCAGTAAACATAGATGTCCAGTTATCTCTGTGGGAGGAGGTATTGACCTTTGAGTATTTGTTCAGCTTCACTTTGCTGTTAGATAAATTGAAGAAGCTGAAGGAATTTGTTTGGATGTCAGGAGGGCTATTGTGTGTTAAGAGGTTGTTGGGCTGGAAATTAGGAAAGATGTCAAAGTATATTGCTTATGAATGTAGATGGTCCCTGTCTGAAAGCTGAACTATGCTTACACTGGGCAAAGTCATATGTTCACCTGTTCCTAAACACTGAGTCATCTCTGTTTGTGGCAAAGCACACTGCAATGAACTTCAAAATGCTTCACTATCTTTGAAATGAGCACTGCAATGATTAACAAAATGTCATTGTCTCTTTTAGATGGAATCTATAAATGTCAAGGAAATTTCAAATTTCTTTTTTTGTCTAAATATTTAAAATGTCATGTGTTCACAAATTAATATCAAACATTAGAGTGGATTTGGAGAAAGTATGACTTTGTATGTTAACTTTTTATCATAAGGAAACAAAATTAAAAACAGATTTTAAAAATCATTTTTATCACAAATTGAGTTATTTGTGAAAGCAATTAAGATTTATCAGATGAGTTGCATGAACTTTGAGGTACAGTCCCCAAACCTTTTTTTTCTAGAAAGATCATTAGTTGTCTCAGCACATTGTTTGTTCTCCATTGGGGTTCATCAGTCGCCCAATGTATCTCTAGCCTTTCTATATATTTCAGGAGACTTCTTTCTGAAAATGGCATACTAAGGGAACTTTACTCTTCTACGTTCTTCTGAGATGAGTATTTCCATAGGCGGCAGTTCTTAGATAAAGTTCTCCACGTCTTTCACTGTCGGGAATTCTGTAGAAACCAGAACAACCGCATCTCTTTGCTCAGTCCCACTGTGGAAACTAGAAAGCTGACACACATTTTCAAATTTATCTTGCAGCTCAGTGGGGCCATGCTGAGTTAGATATGGTTGACATACTACTCAGGAAGGCCCGGTATTGGTGACAACAGCTTGAAGGTAACCAGGTGGAAGAGGTCCTCTTGTTAACTGCCCCATTTACCCTCAGTTCTTGGAAATTACAGTAGATAGAGCTCACACTTCTCCCTTATCAGCAAAGCTTACAGTGTGTACCCCTCCTGCCACCAGGCATTAGCTTCTGATGAGGTTCTCAGATCTTTGTTTGGCAACCTGAATCCCCAGGCACCACTTTAGGAGTTAACTGTGCTCTGATGAAAATATAGATTTTTCCCCGAAGTTTTTGCCTCAGTAACAACACAGGCTAAATGACATTTATTTATTCAGAGCCCTATTCAGTTTATGTTTCACAAGTTCTTTGAGGCTTTACTAGGCTTCCCACAAACCTTCCCTGGTACTGACAGCAATTAACAAGTACACACATGCACATAAAACTTTTTGATCTTTTCAATTAAAGAAAAGATAAAAACCTCCAAAAAATCTAGACTGAATCAATAGTTTCAATCACATATTTTGACATACAGTGCAAATGTTTGTAAATATTAAAAGAATGAAAAAAGTGCTAGAAACTGTTTACAGAGATTCATACAGGAAGCAATCTCTCTCTCTCTCTCTCTCTCTCTCTCTCTCTCTCTC